GTTAAGGTGTACAAATGGCACAAATATCAGGATCTTCAAATAATCATGAAGTGAAGAGAGAGCAGCCTGTAACATATTTCCATGAAAACATCAACCAGAAAGTCAAGAGATCCTCTGATGCTACAGCTAGCATAATAGTTCAGGGTTAATAAATAATAATAAACCAGGCTAATTTACTTTTGACTGTAGAAATTGTAGCTGCACTCAAATATTGTTGTTGTTTTATTTATTTTTATTTTTTGAGAAATACTTTATAACTAAGCCTCAAATCAAGTGTCAATAAGAGTTTAATTGAGTGTAAATAATAAACAGCTTAATTTAGTTAATTGTGTACCAACACGTCCCTGTACGTTACTTAGGCTACAGAAATCAAATGAATTTAAACACCTAACTTTTAGTAAAAATGTGCTGAGTGGGGACATCTCTTCTCTTCTCCTATTTGTAACCAAACTCCTGCTGAATAACACTTGGACACAGTCCTTCCTGCCATCCACCACTGGGCGGCGCTGTGGGTTTCTTTGCACTTTGTTTCCAGTAGCCAAATCTCGCACAAATCCGCGAGGTTTACAAGTCCCGTTCCTCTTTCAACTAGCCTCCAAGATGGTAGGTGCTATCATGTATCCCCGTGCATTGCAATTTGGTTAAATCTGTGCCCATCCTTGTTCATTTGTACAGCAAAATAGTATCCGATGGCGGTCTACAGTGTATCCATCTCCTGTGGTCACTTACTGGACGTTATCGTCGTGATTTATGACCATTATGGGTCTTTTTGAGCGGTTCACTGTGTGAGAGCTCGGCTCTCCGTGGGCCTGCTCTGTCTGTAGTTACATGTTTAACCGCGTACACAAACCCTCTGTAGTCTTCATTAATGTGACAGGTAGTCACGGTTTAAAGCACTAATGTCCCCGGTGTTAATGTGACAACCGTGGTTTGTGTGTTACGTGCTGGACGTTTGAAGTCTGCCGGTGAATGCAGTGGGAGTAGCATTAGCTTCCTTTAATGCCAGGCGGCATGAAACCAGTGAATGGTTGTCGAGCGGTGGTTTTAAGCTTGTACCACAACTTCACCTCAACTTAAAACAACATGCGAACATTTGTTTACTATGAATTATTTGCTGAAATCTGTTAAATGTGACAGACTGCCAGTTAGCGCCACGGGCAGGGATAGGACCACGACTGGAGTTTATTCTGACCTGTATCAAACCTTCTTCACAGCCTACCAAGAAAACCAAGACCAGGAAGCTCCGAGGACATGTCAGCCACGGACATGGTCGCATTGGTGAGTAGTAGCTCTCCTGAAGGGGGTCCTGGTGGATGTGGAGCAGTGTGTGTGTGTGTGTGTGTCCCTGTACATGTGGTTGCAGGGTTAACGTTGACTTGTCCCCCACAGGAAAGCACAGAAAGCATCCTGGAGGTCGTGGTAATGCCGGTGGTATGCATCACCACAGAATCAACTTCGACAAATAGTAAGTGCTGCGTGACATGGTGATATTCTGCTGCTGTGTAGGACTGGAGTCGAGGGGCGTCCAGACTGCATGCTGATTGGCTTACATTGAATCATTGACAGTATGTATGATGGCGTTAAAGTAAACCTGAAACATCTCCTCAGGACTGTGTGTGTACATGTTTACTAATGCTCTGATCAGGGCGATGCCAAATGTCAGTTTATAATTTTAGGGAAATGCCCCAAAGTGAACTACCTGTGGGTCTGAATTACAAATAGCAGGTTTTTAATTTGTCAATCAGCTTTGATATCGAATAGAAGAAATATAGAAAGTTTTGCAATTTTCTGTGACAATAACATAATATGTTGTACACACACACTCATCAGTCTTTCATCCTGGTGGTGTATCTTCACTGTGTTGGTGCTGCTCAGTCAGTAGTTGAGGGGTTTTGTTGTAGAGACTAGAGTCTCACCTTGACACAAATCATTGTCCTGGTGTGCTAGAGTCCTCTTAGAGTGAAGACTGGTCCTATTCACCGACTGGCTCTTTGTAGGCCAGTCAGCCACATGGGCAGTTACAAACTAATGACCGGATCTTCAGCCTGATCGTTCTTCACCGTTGAATCGGTGCCATGGGTGCAGTGCAGCCACAGCCTGACATGCACCGTCCCACAAATAACAGTCCTCACACACTTGTCTGAGAGAACTCATTTTAATTTACATCTCAGCAATCGAGTTGAAGCATTTTCTTTTGAAATGTTGAAAGTATTATGTTTTTAAATACATTTGGTGCATTTAGAATGAAGAATTTACTATTTAGTCTGCATTACAGGGCAGGCTATTTCTCTTACACACACAGGCTTGTCCTGTCCCGCCTGTTCCTTTAACTTTCTCTGTGTCTGACTGTTTTCAGTATGTTTTGTAAAGTTTTTTTCACTCATAATTCCGTTTTCACATCCGCGTTTGGGGCGAAGCTAGTCATGAATTGAAACAATCAAAACCAACATGGTAGCAAATGACATCGGCACCAAGCTGCTGGTCACTGTTGCTTTACCTGGTCCACACTGGTCAAATCTGCGTCAGTGTGATTGTCACTAGACTGTACAGGAGCAGAAGTGCGAGGGGAGATAGTCCACTAGTTAGTCGATTGCCCATACGTGTACTGTTAGTGCGAGGTGCTTAGCTGAAGAAAGAGATCTAAACGCAATGTCTGAGAAACGTGTAAAAGAACTGACCTTTGTCCTTCTTGTGTCCCCTCAGCCATCCTGGGTACTTTGGTAAGGTGGGTATGAGACATTACCACCTGAAGAGGAACACAACCCACTGCCCCACCATCAACCTGGACAAGCTGTGGACTCTGGTGAGCGAGCAGACCAGGCTCAACTATGGCAAGAAGCCCGAAGGACCCGCCCCCATCATCGATGCTGTGCGCGCTGTAAGTGTTGGCCACATACTGTCTCCAGCCCTGATCACCTTTACTTAATACCTGTACCTGAATGATCAATGCCTGTTTGGATTTGCTCACTGGAAACTGACCAAAGCAAGGTCCTATTTGTGACCAGCTTTGTAGATGACATACAGTATGTTATCATGGTAGCTTTGGAGTTATTGAAGTTATTTTACTTTTCTCACAGATAACAGTTTCCCTGGTCTTAGTCTTTGACCTAACGAGGATTAACATAGCTCGTACCTGTCTGTAGTCAGTGCACTCTCCTCTGACATGGGGCAAATGTGTTTCCCAGGTTTGTTTTGTTCAGTGCGAGTCTTTCCAATCTTGGTACACGCAGCCACGTCTGACGAGAAGTTGTGCTAAAATTTTTTGCTTTGATACCTGTGACCAAACTGATTTCCACCCCCTCTTGCTATTAGTGTTATATTTCAGTCCACATTAAAATGTGTTGCAGAACACATTTAAAGGGACAAGAACGTCCACTCTGAGTACAGTCGCTAACTGCAAACAGGAGATCATCTTACAGCATGTTCTGATATTTGGAAAGGAATTGCTAAACTTTGCATTGGATCGTTGGATGGAGATTGTACAATGTACTTGGTGCTGTGTTCAACAACCAGTATTAAAGGTCCAGTGTGTAACATTTAGGAGGCAGAAATATAATCCTAAGTATGTTTTCAGTAGTGTATAACCTAATAATTCACCTGAATAAGGAACATTTGATAGCTTCAAACACCACAGTGGACCATGTTTCTACAGTAGCCCAGAAGGGACAAATCCAACAGTCTTTAGATGGGGCAGTTCATGTTGAGGGTTGTTTAAGCTAGTTTCTCCTTCACACTTGAAAGAGGAGGATGAAGGGAGGGAGTTATAATACCACTGTTTCTGGATGTGTTGTTAAATTGTAGTTGAGTAGATTGGTTTTACTAACAAAATCAGCACGGCTGAATATTGCACTATTCAGCATTTTGTCAGATCAAATGTCTTCATGCAGATGTGCTAAGTGGTTATCTGGTTGCATTTTAACATCTTCTTGATCTTGCAGGGCTACTACAAAGTCCTGGGCAAAGGCAAGCTGCCCAAGCAGCCCGTGATCGTCAAGGCCAAGTTCTTCAGCCGACGGGCCGAGGAGAAGATCAAGGCAGTGGGAGGAGCCTGTGTGCTGATGGCATAATGGTCCTGTCAGTGTTTTTGCAAAAATAAACTGTATAAATGGGAATTACATGTTTGTCATGTGTGATTTATATGGCAGCTATGGTATGTGCTACATTTTGCTACTTGGAAATGCCAGCAGTATTTATTGCTTGCATGGTAAATGCACATTTGATAATGGGTTGTTATTGAAAAGCTTTATGCTCAAATGAATTTTAATAAACCTGTACAGAAAGGTTTAAATCAGTATTACAATGTAAAATGTTTGCTTCAACTGAGAGCAACCGGGTTGTTGAGGCCACTAAAATATACTCTGACTGTAGACAACATGATCATCATCAGCACATTAGCCATGAAGTAATGTCATAGGCCATCTTGAGCTGTCTCAGGGTTACTTTCATCAAGTAAAATGTGCCATTGTTTACTTGTAAATACACCAACTTCTATTTATTTTTTACTTGCTCTGTAAATAGTTTAATGAAACGTTTCTCTGAAGCTCAGTTCTCTAAATGGTGTGTCGCAACTGAGGATCAGCCCATATCAAGGCCTGTTCCCAAATACAGATCATTGAGTTTGAACAGATAACGGTGTACTCACTCACACATACTGAAAAGAGATGGTGATGCATTCTGGTCAACGCTGAACCGAAATGTGAAAGAAGTAAAACATCCTGTGCATTAAGTCTTATCAGGAAGCCACTAGATGTAGAAATGTCCACACAACACTGGTCATCTGCCTTTTAGTCCTGTTAGAGCGTCTTCCTGTGACCTCATGACAGCCTTTTAAATACACAACCACAAGTTTAAGAGCAGCCAGGGATATATGGGATCCCAATACATGTGTGTATTTCTAATAGACACACCACAAAGTGACTAAGGATTGCCATGCAGAGAGAAGTGAAACGTCTCGTGGGCTCTGTATGGGGGGGGGGCGGGGTCTAACGTTCAGGATTTCCTGTCCTGTCATTTGCAAACAGATGAGCCACAGCTGAACTTGTGCAGCTCAATGAGGGACGTGTGAGGACTACACGCAGCCTGGATGAAGACGCGTCGCTTTCTTACGTGTGTGTTTACTTGCTGAGCCGCCCGGCTCCTTGTGCGGTGAACAGGTAAACAAGTAAATAAGCTCTTTACCCGAGATTTGTTGACTCAGCGCGCGGAACAGTGAAGTTATTGTGACGAAACGTAAACAGAAGGTGACGTGCGTTGGATCGGTGTGACGTTGCGGTGTACTCGGTGCTCCGGGGTGACGGCGATGGTTGACTGGCCACAAGAGAAAGTGAGTTGCTGCAGATAAAAAGTGCAAAACCATCGGCTTTCTGGTGCCAGTGAGTGGGGCGTTAATCTCCACGCATGCGCAGTTCCCCAGCATTTATAAAAGGCTACTATTATACTGCATGTGTAGTTGTGTGTGTAGTTGTTGGCGTTTAAATGTTATAATTTTATTTAAATTGGGAAGCCACCGTGATCAGAAAGGCTCTCTGTATATGTAAGTTGCTGATATGTTTTTTGTGAAACCACCAAACTTAAATGATCATATTCTAAGGACACTTCTTTCCACCAGTAATGAACTCAGAGACATGAATAGCATGTCAAACAGTTTGTCTGGGCCCTTATATTGTCTCCACCATGCAGTGCTGCATGAGGATGCTCCAGTCGCTCAGAGAAAGGAGTACTAATGTAGGGGGCAAAAGGTTGGCTCAAGTCAACAGGGGCCATCTTAATCATGTTCAAACACTGTAGGATCAGGGAAAGGTTTGCAAAACCTAGAGAGACTCCAGCTGTAGGGTGAGGATGTTCTCATCACAGGGAGTCTGCAGGTTCTATCGAATGCCTCAGTGGTTCTTGTGCTGTAGAGGAAAAAGACAGGAGAAAGGGTTAGACGCCTATATAGGTTTGGACAAAAATTGCATTGGAAGATGAGGTGTGTGGTCTTTGTTTTTATCAACAGCATTTGCTGCTGATGTTTAACAAAGTGTGAGTTTGTATGTAGTTGTCTGTTTAGATATGTAATGAGTGTGTACAGTGCTGTGCATTCAACCATTGTGGGATATGCATGTGGTCAGATGAAACTAAGTTGTGTGTGGGATATTAACCCAAGTTGTCACCCTGCAGCACTCCTGGCATGGGTGGGAAATAACTTTTTTATATAATAAAAACAGCAAATATTCACATTTTACAAGCTGGTACCACTTAAACCAGGGGTCTCAAACTCCTTTCACTTCATAAATAAAAGATAAAATGATGATTTGTATCAACAAATTGCTGTTTGCATTTTATGATGTTAGTAATGTAAATGTTTTTAGAATATTGTCCTTGTGGTTAGTACTTACTAGAGTGAAGATGATAATACCACCAATGGCTCCAATCCAATTGGAGTTTGAGACCCCTGACTTAAATGTTGGCATGTTTGCTTATAAAATGGCAGATTATTGAAACTGATGCCAGGTCATTTTATCATTTCAGTTCTATATCAATACCTTAGGAAAAAAACTAATATAATTGGAAATTGTACTATAGTGTGAGGTAAAGGAAAAGGAAACTGGCTGAGTGCTTCCTGCTTCTTCCCCCGCTCAGGTGAAAAGAAACCTAAGTTTCACTCGACTTGTTCATGGCAGACCAAGCCTGGCTGGAGTCTTCGCTGCGGCGCTCTGCCAGTCTGGGCCTAGAGGTGCTGGAGCGGGCCTCCAGGCGGAGTGTAGACTGGACTAGTACTGGAGTATCTCAGACCCCCACCACTACAGATGAAAACACACACATCCCTATCAAGGTGCTGCCGTTTTTTCTGTATATTAACCCCATCATGAATTAAATTTGGATCGTGACTCCTTTGCTGTGTCACACTTTTGCTCGTCTTCTCTCAATTCTCGTGCTCTTGTCATTTTCCAGAGAAAACACACAGAGCTTGATAATGTCTTTGCAACCATCGCAGACTTCATGGCGCAGACGACCTATCAGTGCAAGGTCAGTGGTTATTTCCCTCCACCCCCCTTTTCAGCTACAGACCGTAAGACTAAAATGTGAATATTTTCTATGCTGCAGAAGTTTTATGAGTCTGGCCGTTGCACTGAGCCCACTGACTCTGAGAGGAGCCACGTGTCCAGGTTCCACACGCGGCCAGCTGCTGGGATGACGTCTTCTGCACAGTCAACCAGGAAACGTGCGAGGGCTCCTTACAACAAAGTAACACTAAGCTTCTGCTTTTTCTTTGAGTTGTGTAAAGCTTTCATCTTTATTGCTTCTTACTGGAATCATATTTCTCACCAAATTATTATGCAATTTCAATATTCACTGGCATTTTAGACTTATTTTGGACCTCTGAATCCTGAGAAAAATATTTTGACCTTCAGTTTTGCTGGTTCTTTACCCGCCTATTTTTCACCGGGGAGTTGAAACACTCAGTTTGTATGCCTCAAATGACTGCATAGGATCTGTTAGATCTGTTTGAACTTAATCATGCAGAACTGCAAACCAAAATCATGAGCTGGAAACTGTAAAAAGCCAGCCAGTATTGATCTTCAGTGGGAATGGTAGTACTAGCACCATTTTTACATAAGGAACTTCCTGTAATATCATGAATATTATTTTGTGCACCTCTTAATATATAGTTTGTATTAATTTTAGACTAACATGGGGTTTTCAAGGAACTAAAACCGAAAATACCACAGTTGGCTTATCAATAGTGCAACCAAAATGTATTTTTAAGAACAATCTCCTTAAATGTAACAGTGACCCCATATACGCTTGGAACAGACATGACCACAATCACAACATATTGTAGAAAAAAAACATTCAGTTTGTATTTTGAGAGGAATTTTGGTGCTTTTTTTTTTTTTTAATTCCTTTTGCCATTATGGGAACTTTTACAAGGCTTGCACTTCAGCATCATGATCTCTGCTGTGTTGGTTTCTGCTTAAAAAAAAGTTTTTTAAATCTCTTTTTAAAATTCATGTTCATTCTTCCCAGGGTCGTGTGTTGGCAGCAGGTGAAGATTTCTATATTGAGGTTTCACCAGGGACATATTCTATCACTGCCAGCATGTCGGAGTCGGAGCAGCAGACTCAGCTGGTCAGCGTCAAAGCTGGAGAGAGTATTGACCTCACCTTCAATCTCTGACACCTCACCCAAACAAACCAGCCCCCCCTACCCTCAATAACTAAACTGACCTATGATATTTATGCTGTGTGTGTGCGTTTATTGCTTGTTTTTACATGGATTGCTGCATTAAGAGTTTTTATTTTGCTTTCAAAATGTTTTATTTGCTGTATATTGAGAAGCCATATTTTTATTGCAGTAGTATTTTATTAGTGTGTGTGTAATTGTGTAATGCAGTACTTTTACTTGCACTAAAGATGCATCAGTTTATTAAAATAAGGTATCAATCTTTTGTTTGTTTTTTGTTTTTTACCAACTTTATACAGGTACAGTATATGCTGAGGTCTTAGCTGTGCATTGTACATGTAGCATTGTTGGCAGAAAAAGCCTGCCGTCCCACTGGTGGTCGAGGTTTGAAGTTCGTCGTTCCAAAAACATCTCTGATGTTCGCTGTTCTTCCTTTAGCACCAGGAAGTGATTGAAACAGGGAGCTGTGATTGGGCGAGGCGCTGATCTGTGGGACAGGAAAGCTGAGCCTTACAGGTTGTGACGTCCTCCTTGCCATGGCACTCCCTGCAGATAAACATAAATATATCAACATGAACAGATGTCATGGGGGCTGAGGCTCTGTCACTTAGCATCTTAGTGGCTTAGCTGCGGTTTAAGACGGGTCCAGTTCGACTGAAACTTGTCAGGGTTCAAAATTGTTATTTAATCTGCATTGCTGTGCTGTTAATGCTTATTGTGATCTGCATTGTGTTTTGCAATATTGTAAACTTATATCAAATAAATATTTCCATACAGTTGTACTATTAGTCAATACAAGTGACTGCCATTACACCACAAATGATGTGTGCACGACTATTGAGATTCTCAACCATGACGTAACATTGATACTGAATTTAGTTCTAGCAATAAATAGGGCTGTTTATTGGCCAGAATCTGGCGACATCATACGCTGCATGATACAGAGGTTACAAATACATATCGTGATATATTGTGAGGCTCAACATCTTAGCCCTCGGTTTCTGTTTACAACACTTTTCTTGGTTGAGGGTTTAAACACAGAAATTAAAACTGTTTGGAAAATTGAAAATTACAAATTGATTTTGTGACAATATCACAAAACAAAGTTCTGCGTTTTGATATTTTAATTCATCCCTGGCAATGAATTACATTAAGTGAGAAGCTGCCTCCCTGCAAAACTTA